CCATCTGGTACACATTTGGTGCACATTTGGTGCAGATTAGGTGCAGAGTTGGTCAAATTAGGTTCAGTCTGTCTCTTAGTAGCTATCAGCTAGGGTTTCACTAATTGCTTATATGCCTGCTTTGTCATAATATCAGAGAGTATCATCAATAAAACACTGAAATAAATTCATAAAATAAAGATATTTTCTGTAAAAGAGATTAGGTGCAGATTTGGTCAAATTAGGTGCACTCGCCGGATAGCCCGTCGTGAAAACGGCTATTGTATTAATTTCTGGACAAGCCAGCGCAGTATTTCACTCTATGTTGGATGACATGGCAGCGTGACGCTTTTTCTCCTGATCTGTAACGACGCCTTGGGTCATGCATGTGCTACGGTGCTACTAGTCAGTCGAAGTTCTGGATGCATTGTCGAGAGACGATGAGTGAGCCGATCATTTATCGTATCCAAACTAACGGAAAACTTTTAAGTTATCTTTAAGGCTTGGATGGAAGAATAAAGCATAGTGTGAGAGAAGGAGAGAGGAGAGGGGAAAGAGGGTGAGAAAGAGTAAGTAAGTGAGTGAGAGAGAGAGAGAGAGAGAGAAAGAGAGAGAGAGGAAGGGAGGGAGAGAGAGAGAGAGAGAGAGAGAGAGAGAGAGAGAGAGAGAGAGAGAGAGAGAGAGAGAGAGAGAGAGAGAGAGAGAGAGAGAGAGAGAGAGAGAGAGAGAGAGAGAGAGAGAGATGAGCAATAGCTAGGCTTGTTTTATCGTTGTCCAGCTGCAGCGTAATAACTTTTCGAGGGCGGATGTTGGGCCTGCGACGCGCTGTTGCCCAACAGTTCATACCAATATCGGACTAGAGAGCGCTGGCACAATTAGGACAGTGGAAGCTGCTGCTCACTGCCTAGAGACCCACCCGGACCTTGGCGCCACTACATTGCTCACTGACATAAATGACGGAAGACGTAATCAAACGAGCTTATGTCGCCGAATTATATTGCGTAGAAAAAAGAAACATGTAACTAATCATCCCTAAGGTAGGGTCGTCGTCAAAGAGCTGTGTGCCCTGACATTACCTAACCGTTACGTGACATGTGTTTCTTCTGGGGCCCGGTTCTTCCGACTACGGTCACTTCAGGTCCAATCAGGCCAGATCAGGCTCAATAATTCCCAAAAAGGCTGGAAAAGGCTTACGACCTGACGGCATGCTAGTGCGAACCGGAGCAACTGATCCGGCCTGAACTGGCCTGATCAGACCTTCAGGCCAGATCAGGCCGAAGTTAACTTCAAGTCAACTTTTTGCGCCTGATCCGGCCTGATCTGGCCTGACGCTGCGCCCGCCATTTTGAATTTGCATTGGCGCATTTGCGACGTGACAATGCGTGGTATTCGAAATCGTGCCCTTTTTGACACTCTGCAAAATAAAAGTGCCTATTTATATAAATGCACACAAAAAAAAAACAGACCCAGTATGAATTAGGCACGAGACGTTGCGCATGGCTCTTTTTTATTTGATTTTTATTGTGGCCTAATTTGTGTCATTTCGGGCTTTGAAGGATGAATAACTCCCATGGTTGCTACTGATTGCTGTTTTGTTTAAATTAATTATGAACGTTGGTTTCGACAAGTCCAACATTATTTCAACCAAATTAGCGTTTCTTTTAAAAATGATTCCAAAAAATAATGTGCTACTCATCAATATCGTAGCAAGATAACCATTAACCATTCAAGCTTACGACAAATAAATCGGGCTATGGTGGAAGATCCAGGTTCAAGACAGCCTTTACAGCCGCCTGACCTGTCGAGCATCAGAAATCCAGCTCGTACACCTTCCCCGTCTGAGCTCCCGGGCCGGGAGACCTAGCTTAGAACAGTAACGGATGGCTGCGCCTGATATGAGCCGCTCCAGCAAACACCAGGGAGGGATGAAAGTAAACTTTTGGAAGTTTTGCGTAAGAAGGACACTCGCTCTCGGTCGCCCTCGATGCCACGAACCTCTGCCGAGCTGTTGCGGTGTCTTCTGCGGCAACTAAACTCATCGTCGCCGGCACCGAATAGGCTCCCGCTACCTCTCCTAGATCCCGTGACTCTCTGTCATGACTCGGACTGAATGGAACCAACCGCTACTCCATTCGCCCCGCTGGACCCCACGGCACAAAAGGACCTATCCTATATCGAATGGCAGCTTGGCCAGGGAGACTCATTTCCAGGCCAAAGAAATTTGACGGGAAGACAAGAAACTAAACTCTTAAGTCGACATGTTCCATGTGCAAGATAAATTTGTGGCGGGAAACCACAGCGGTACCTATGTGTGAGCAAAAAGTAAACCTTGTTTAGGTCAAGCTAATCGAGACCCTAAACGTGCATGATGACATGAAAAGAGTCATAAACAACGGGCTCTTATTTCTCGGAGTTGAGTTGCGTCAATGCTTATATCTTTGTTAGTGTGGTAATTGTCTGCAAAGCACATAAGAACCTACAACATAAGAACATGCATGTCTTTTCTGTTTTCTTTTAGCCACTTCTTAGATTTTCGATAAAAATCATGTTTTTATTACTTAAAACCACATTAAAACATGTTACGCAGTATGATTAAGATTGTCGGTTTCAGGTTTTCATTATATAGAGCGATTATACCAGTAAAACGTCTTTGGAGCTGACAAACGGGCGAGCACGAGAGTTGAACTCATCAAGCGAGGAAGTGCGAAACAATACCTATTCCAACTGACTTGTGCGGGACACGCTTCTAACCAGTCCGTAACAGTGTACTTTAAATTTGAGCGCAATCGGACCACCCGTTCTCGAGATGTAGAAGCAGCAGTCTGCACGTGCGCACGTGCATACTGGACCCCAACTGACTTGTGTGGGACACCCTTCCAGTCGATCTCTAACGGTGTACCAAATTTGAGAGCAATCGGCCCAGCCGTTCTTGAGATGTGGAAGCGGTCCCTGCACGACGCACGTGCGCACGTGCATTAGGACCCCAAATGTGAAACGTTGAAATGCATTGTCCGGTGGACGCCTACCGACATATGAAGCTCCAGCGCAATCGGCCCAGCATTTACCTAGTTGTTGTAATGAGAGCGAATTTGACACCTCTTCATTTTGCACGTGGCACGTGCAGGGGAAGGGGCAACAAACATGCATCGAGAGTACATAGTCTGGTATGGGAAGAAGATGCCAAAAAAGACTATGTGTCGATCGCCACAGATTTGGCTGAGATATGAGCCTATCAAAATCGTTACTTTGACCGAGCGAAACAACTATGAAACCCTTGACTTCACACGCGCCACGAAGTCACCTCGATGCATCATGAGTAGTCAATTTCGAGCTGGAAGGGATGGGGATGAGGCTATACCTAACAAAAAAAGACCATAGGTCAATCGGCCCAGCGGCTGCTGAGATAAAAGCCTCACATAAGCGTTACGAGCTGCGCCAAACCGGGCCGGGCTGCTCATGCTCAGACTTGTAAGCTATTTAGAAAATCGCAATTCGCTCTCGCTGGTAAAAAAAAAAAACACGCACACATTTAAAGGTAGTGTGCCAGCTTTCCTGGACCGTATGGAGTTGATGGCCCAGATAAGGAGAACCGGATTTTTAGAACTTATCCATACCTTCAAAACTCATGGAAACGTCTTAAATTCTTCAAATTTTGAGTACCCCAGTGCGAAATTCGCCCCGACGGGTTGTCGGTCGTACCCCAACCACATTTCACACCACTATGAACAATAAATGCACACACTGAAATCGCTATTACCGATATGCTCATCCAATCAAGTTTCGATAAACCCGTTCATCATCATCTCCTGCGGTTTCGAACACGCCTGTTAGGTGGTGCGGTAGACCGCGCCCAAAGCCAGGGCCCCGGTAACGTGAGGTAGCCGAGTCGGGGCAGCGTGCGCTGACCCAAGCCGGGGCCGCGCGTCCTCCCGGTGTCATGTGATAGCCCTGGGCTGACCGGGGATTGGGTAGACCGCGCCGAAAGCCGCGGCCCCGGCTTGGGTCAGCGCACGCTGCCCCGACTCGGCTACCTCACGTTACCGGGGCCCTGGCTTTGGGCGCGGCTTCTGCTCATACTTTGTGGTGCGGTGGTGGTGCGTCAGGCAGCGCGCTCTGACTTCGGCCAAGAAAAATGCGTCAGCTGATCATTGTCATTTCTGCCACTTGCGTGTGGTGAAATGGGGTCATAACTTAAGAGACGGCTTTTTCATATAAATTATTTTACATAAAATCATATTTCAAACCATAAATAATGTTCGACAGCCAAATAAAAGAAACAATACCAATACAGGCTTACAGGCTCGACATTGTGTTGTCTACGATTAGACAGCTGATAACTCCTTCCCGTACGTCGTATTTCTATAATGACCTTTGCTTATTGTCACATGTGCGCCGCATTCGCGATTGTTGCCGACGCCTGTTTGCAGCTCAGCCCACTACAGTTGTTATACATATCGAAAAACCGATAAACTTTTAGGCGAAAAAGGCACTATTCCAGGCCCATTTTTGATTTTTTTGCGATATTAGGTAAAACAGAAGCTTCTTATCCTAGGAAAAATAAAATAGGAAATCTTTCAAAGGTGGCTCACTACCTTTAAAAGATATTTGGTGAGGCAGACCGACGGCCTGACGCCTGACGTCTGGCGTCTGGCGTCCCATACGGTCTGATCAGGCCGAGCGTCCGACGTTCAACTTTGGCCTGAACGCCTGATTGGGCCTGATCTGGCCTGATCTGGCCTGATGTGGCCTGATGTGGCCTGAAGCAACCTCATAGTCGGAACCGGGCTAAGAGATCACCGTCTTACGGAACTGACATTTTGCCGTGTTGCACCACATCCTGCTGGCGTCGTCATTGTTGTGTCATGTTCTTGTGTCATGGTCCCGCAGTGATGCTATCAGTGATCTGGAAGGAACTCACGTCCCGTTATTGTGTTCCAGGGATCGTTCGTTTGTGTCATCACTTCTGCGCTCGAGCAATATTGGAAACTTTTTTATTGACGGCTGTCTATTTTTCATTTCAGTCTGTTCTCCGACATGAGGAACCTTTCCGGGATAAACTTGGTCAACTTCTTGGCGGGACTCTTCCTCGCCCAGCTTCTCTTTGTCATCGGAGCCGACGGAGTCAAGGTCAGATTATGGCGGGAAAGCTGAGGTCGGTCACACTTGGCACAAAACAGATGGATGCTAATGGGAATTTTCAAGGGCTGTGAAGCTTATAGGTTAAAAATATGGACAATGATGGGTGATTAAGCGGTCAGAGACCAATGCCTAAAAACTCACCATGTGATAAAGCATATATGACAAGTTGTTTATTCCATCACAATAACTATCAGCGATCCACATAACATATCGTATGCACGTTAATTGAAGCCTGGAAGGCTCACTAACCTCAGTTACCAAGAAAATACTGATTTTATGGCTCTTAAACAGATGGCTGAGCCTTCTGAGTACCTATCAGCTAGTTAAATGCGTCGCGCTATTGGAGTTCAAGTGTCTTAGACTGCGTGCTCTTTTCTGCGTCAGAAGATATCGCTGTAATAATACTGTCGCCACGTCTCTAGAAGTCAATATCTCCCCCATTGTTGACCATAACTTGGGAACATTGTGGCTTCTATAGCCTTGTTTTTACTCCGAAGCTCCCGACCGGTCCAACTTTGATCAGAATTATGGGGCAATTTGAAAAATAAAGGGAGTTCACCGATAGCTCGCAAATAAACAATTCCACGCCCCATCAGAAACCCTGAAAGAAACCAGGGAAGATATCGGAATTGAAATTATGGTGTTGATTTTAGGTGATATGCTTTGCATACACTCTGCGTTTTAGGAGTTTCCAATGCCTCATATGATTATTTACAATAATCAAATAATAGTGCGGTAAGCTTGCGTTGTGCTGATGCAATATACTGCGTCATGCTGACAATGCTGATTCCACTGAATTGCGCTGACGACCGATATACTGAGTTCCTTTTCTGACACGTTGTTGTGCTGTAACTCCGCCCTGACGCTGCTGTTCTGATAATGTAAGCATGACGCTCACGAACATGTTGTTCTGATGATGTGATCTGACACTGAACTGGCGCTGAGCCGGCGCCGTGCTGAAATTTTGCTGACGCTAAAATAATTTCTTTTCTTTTTGCTGTAGGTAGGTTTTTTATCGCATTGCCCTTTGAAGACCTATCAATAAAGGTCGAAATACAGGGCTAAAATAGTTTCTTTGCACCCAGAGTTAGTCCGCTAAACGATTTATTATCATAAGATAATCCTGTACTGACGCTAAACTGACGCAGAGCCGAGCTGTATAATGTAATGTACCGTGTTGTGTTGTGCCGTTATGTGTTTTGTTGTAACTCAACGCCGCTCCCCGCAGGGCGCAAACCCCGGAGATATGCTGTGCCGTAATACATACACCGCGGTTTTCCGCTCTGTGCTGTGTTGAGACGCCGCTCCGCTCCCCGCAGACCCCGGAGATGTGCCGGGCCCTCTCGCTCGGCCTGCAGTATTGCCACCTGGCAGTGTTCACCTGGATGGCCGTCATGCTGCTGGACATGTACCGCCACTGTCGCAGCAGCGTCAACCTCACCGCCAACAACAACACCAACATCAAGACCGACTTCTTCTGGTGAGCACTTGATATTGCCCGGCATTGACGTGCCTATTACAATTGCCTCATGGCCGTTTGGTTAAAACAGAAAATTTGAAATGTTGAAATATATATTGCAGTTAGTTAGGTAGGTACAAAATGCAATGCATGCCTATTCGTTACATTCAATATATGCCAAGTGAAAAACTCCTCTTCTCGCCACCCTTTCAAAACGGTCAAAAATGGTCCTCATGACGTGGCCTGCCCTATCAGAGATACGTGGGCGTGCTTTTGTAATCGTTTACATTATGAACATTGTAAATTTGAAAGAGGCGCCAGTTTCTTTACGAGCTTACATTCAGCTGATCTATTCATGGTAATTGAAAGCCCTCGTCAGGCGTGTAATGATAAGAATGAGCTCATTTCACGGCTGCTGGTTTCCCATTCACCTAATCCCGATGGTCGCCGCCTTGAGCCTTGAGCCGCCATAGCCCATAGCCTTGAGCCGTTACCGATATCGGCGCATTGGTCACAGACAACTGAAATGACCAGCGGTCAGTACTATTGGTCAGTGGTCACTGGTCAGTAAACACATAACAAGCATCGCTCATCAGTTGCTTGGCCTGCCGGGCGGGCCGGCGGGCAAGTATTACGCTTCACTCGCTAGATGGCAGCAGGTGTAGGCGCCTGAAGTTATACTGTTCCGCATGGCACCGCGCGGAGAACTACCATATTCATCGGATTGCGGGCCGATGCAGACCGAACAGATGAATGTTTTGTTGGGGATTGTTACTTCCTGATTGTTATTTTGAAACAAGAACATGGCTAGGTTGTGATCCACTATCGGTTGAGCTTATGTTTTTACCCAGTAACTTAGTTTTGTTTGCCAACGTCCTTTCGGTGAGAGCAGTAGCGGCGGAACACCTTCAATTAAGGGGGGAGGGGGCACTGCTGACTTTTCGTCCCATTCTTTCCATGCAACGCCCATAGGGCGAATGCTAAAATGGCAAAATCAAATGGGGGGGGGGCACGGTGCCCCCCGTTCCGCCGCCCATGATCGGTTTGCATAATAATCAAATAGCAAAGATGTTTTCCTCTAACTACTTATCTTCCCCTCGGCGCAGGTTCTCGCTGGCCGGCTGGGGCACTCCGCTGGTTCTGGTCGGTATCCAGCTGGCGCTGCTGTCCAGCGACAGCCCGGCGGTCCCCGGCGACTCTCCCGCCGCAGCCGCGGACACCAGCGGCTGCTGGTGGGGCCAGCAGCCGGCGCTGGTCTACACCTACACAGCGCCCGTCTTCCTGCTGGTGCTGGCCAGCCTCGTCTGCCTCCTCAAGGCCGCCGTCGTCGTCCGCTACGCCGTCTCCATGCAGATCGACCGCAAGGTGAAGGAGAAGATGCGCCGCAAACGCTGCCTGCAGCTGCTGCTGCACGGCAAGCTGCTGCTGCTGCTCACCCTGGTGGCCGTCACGGGAACTGTGAGTGCCGCCGGCGACTCACAGGTGGCGCGCGGCGCGTACGGCCTGCTGCACTCCCTGCTGGGGCTGGTGGTGACGCTCTGCCTGACCTGTAACTGCAAGGTGCTGCGTCTCTACACCAAGACCTGGCGCCAGAGTCGGCACGTCATCTCGGATTACGGCGCGTCCGGCTCGGGACGATCCACCAGCATGGAGGCGCTGGCACTGGATGCGCCCGAGGTGGTCTAAGGCCGCCTCTGGATACTCCAAAGGTGAAACATGGACTAGGACCTCTGAATGTCCTTGGTGTGGCATAAGGACGCTATCGGTTGTTATCGGCTGTTAAGATGGTTTTAATTTGCTTTTGGGCCCCCAAGTCAACGTTTAGAGTGCATATCGGCGCCAGGAATATGTTTCTGGACGTTCGTGGGGCTCTTGTAGTTGCGATTAGCATAGACGTTTCTTAGTCCTATGCGCCACCAGATGTATGGTTTATGGACGCAAATAAGCCCCCAAACATCGTATACGCGGACCCTATTGGTGATGCACTTCGTTAAAATGGTCTTATAGTGCTTCTAGTTTAGGTGATCCCCAAAACTATCAAGGGCCTCCAGTGAGTCGAAAGTAGTCCGAGGAACTCTCTCGTACCTTGGCATAGTGGTGACTTGAGTCGAGTAGCCCCCACGTTGTACAGCGCCAGTAGCTGGTGAGAAAGAACTGTATCAGCTCTAATTATGCGCTGAGTACTGAGTGAGCTGATTGACCCGGTGAGCCAGACTGTTTGATGGTGTATGACTGCATAGTACCTGTCTTGTGCTGATCGATCATTATAGGTATAGTGTGCGTGCTAAAGTATCTTAGTATCATACCTGTAAATGCTCGTGTGAGATGTTCATTCTGAGTGATTAAGATGTTCAAACAGTCAAGAAACATAAGTGCTGAGCATTGTACTGTCAGTCGATAGCTTGAATCGTACCCAAATCTATCAAAATATATGATACGTCGAATGATGAACGTGAGCGTAACTAGTGTATCGTATTTTCTTGTTATCAAACATATCAAGGCACGAAATTTCGTCTGTGTAATGTGTTTATTTAACCTATGTAACAAAATGTAAAATAGTGTAGCATGGATAAATGATAACGGATGAATGGTAATGTTTTATTCGTCAACAGTCAAATAGTAGGTACTTGTTATTTATTCTGGGCAGGAATATATACGTGCATGCTCAGACGGATTCTGAGGATGGATGGACATTTTAATCAATACTTGTATGCATACTGTATGTACCTACTATTTACATAGAAAGTAATGATTTAACAGAACCAATATCACAGCCAGCCAGACAGTTGCTTAACAGTCCGTAAGGATTTCCTCTTTAAATTAGAATACAACTGAATTGAAAAGATAAGAGGAATTTCATCTATTAAATTCAACCATTTGCAATACCCACTCTTTCAGGCGCTAAATTTATGACAGAAGACCTCCGTTTGACACATGAGTAGATACTTACCTACCTTTCTGTAAGGATTTTACTTCAGTTAGCATACAAGTTGTCTTTTGGGCATTGAATGGAGCGGCGACGAATACCTAAATATTTTAGATATTGATAATTTCATCTCTTGGTTTTATTTGTGGACGAATACATAACTAACATGAACTTGCATTATAGTTAAAATGTCATCCATGCGAGCGAGAATGTGTTGTACATACATAGGCATCTTACATGTTAAAACATCATGTACCGAGTACCGAAGTTTGTATTTACCCCCGATGTAATGTTCAGGTATATCATGAAACATTTGCGACTATGTACATACATAAATACTACTCGTGTGCGACATGCGTATTGCAGATATGGCTACATATGTGACACATGCGCATTGTACAGTGAATGCATTGATAATTCCCGAAAAGGCGGACGCTGATTAAGTTTCTATCAGGTGGGTATGCGTCATGTAGTGCGACCGATATCAATTAGTAGCCAATACGGTGATAAACCGCTAGAAACTCCATTTAGACATACACATTTTTGACGGAAGCATTACGACAACTGTCCTCGTTGCGACCAATACAAACCCCTTAGCATCAGCTATTAGCGTTCGTGAGACATTCCGTCACCGTTTAATTACGGATTACGATTACGGTTCGTGCCCTCCGAACTCTCGGGATATGAGACCGGCTCATTATTCATATATCTCCAGCGTGGATGTGGCTGTGAGGAACCGTGTTATTATTATTTAATCCTGTTGTGATGTGCGCGCATAAGCAATTTACCCCGGCGTTCGAAAGATTTCGCAGTGGTTGATTTCTGAGCGTGACCCATTCCATCGATCGACGTCCCCGTGCAGTCTCTATCAATATATAAGAAGCGGTGTGACGACAAATACCTACCTACTGATGTTTGTCTCATATTATCCCAATGTAGTCCTGAATTGTGTGTAAATAAACTGTTTGACTGTACAGGTTGCAGTTGTAACATTTTAGCACCGTGCATACTGCAAAGTCATAGGTACAACCACAGTAGTACGTACAACGCAATGTTATATGAGCCGACATCATAGTTCAGTGACCTGACCTGATCTGAAAATGAGGTTGCTGTCACAAGATTCGACTTAAATAATAAAAAGTCAGCCGTCAGGTACCTATGTCGCCTTTCATCTCTGCCCTCATGGTAAGGAATAAACTCAGAAGGTAGGTACTACACACAGAGATGAGAGAAATACCTATTGAGCGATGTCAAGGTCAATATACTCATAAATAATCCAAATAGCTTCAAAGTTCTGCTTCACTTAGTAAAATGTCTATGGCTGAAGCACTTGGTAGTTAGCAGTTACCTACTACTGCTAGTTGCTACTACCTACTAATGTGTCGTTTCACTCGTTTCCCATGTGTCTATTACGGTTTCTCCATGCACCTCATTTGCCAATGGCTCCGACGCTGCAGGGTAGGCGTGAGATCACTGATTGAGCTAGAATCATGAAGCAAAACAATCACGAAACAAAGCTAAGTCTAGCAAACGTTGAGAACCTTGACCGTAGGTATAGGGAGACCCGGGAGGTTTTGTGGAAAGGCAATTTTCTTCCAGTGGGCAGTCGCTAGACCCGGTTTTTCACTCTGTGTACGTGCAATTGCCTTTCGCCTGCAAAGTGTGCCTGATATTAGGCATCTGGGACCAACTATTTTGACTCGAGATAACTTTCAATAAATCATGCGCTTTTTCAATACATTAATCCTAACCCTCGCATGTGTAGGGGGGGGGATGTCGGATGGACCCCCCATGGTTTTTCGCGAATAACTCGCGCAAAAAGCGGCCGATCGCGACGAAACTTTCAGTACCCTCGAGATGATCAATTTTACACCTACTCTGAAAATTTCATGACCCTAACCCAAGTGACCTTTGACTTGTGACCTATTTCTTGAGGCCATGTTTCGCCGGAATCGCGATTCGGCGTATATGTCGGCTCGCATTAGCCGCGCGTTTGCAATCTTTTCGTGATTTCAAACGTTCAAACATGTGATTTGGTGTTGCTCCCATGCAAAAGGGTGGATGTCAAGGTCACTTGAAGGTCAGGTCAGGTTATTGACCTTTGGTGACCTCGGTTTACCTTTTCGAATTTTACATGTTTCTAGGGTAGTTTTTGTAGATTAGTTCGAATTTAGTTTATGTTCACATAAACTCACATAAACTCACATAAACATGTGCCCCCCCCCCACTAGGGCGAAGTTGGCTGAGACCGCCACTGGGGCGCGGGATATGCTAAGTTCACCGAGTTGTATACCTTACATCCAGGTTTTTCGAGTTCGGGTGACCTGAGGTCATCTAGAGGTCGCGACAAATTTAAAGAACATTTGTCTGAAAAGCTTCAAATGTAAAAATACGGCCCATTTTAATGTTTTTGTGTTGTTTTATCTCCATTAAAGTTGAATTTTGTGTTCGGTTGCAGTGAAAAAAAAAACACTTGGTCAGGTCATCTGAGGTCAAATGAGGTCAAACTACGTTTCTGCTAATAAATTCGCACACAATGAGGCTAGAGCTTCAAAAATGGTGCCATTGTGTTCCTTGTGATCAGCCGAATCGAACGATTTGAGAATTGAGATATGATGCAATTTGGCTAAATTCAACCTAATTAATTTAAGTTCATACTTAAAAATTAGGACAATTTTAAGTGCACATACCTTAACTTGTAACAAAGTATACTTCTTTACCATTCGATGCGCACGGACGCGCTGAGTTCACTGGTGCCTTTGGGTTTGCTCTATCTTAATCAGATCAAAAGTCATAAGCCAAAAACTTTTTACCTGTTTTGGCGAAGTTTTTACATTTATGCCCCCCAAACCAGGGCTGCGGGGTCGATGTATTTTAGGGTGACTCCGACTCCGACTCCGACTCCGGCTTCAAAAATCGACTCCGACTCCGACTCCAACTCTGACTCCGACTTCGGACGGTTCTATTAAAAATTCATATCATGGTATTGCAGTTCATAATGGGGATGTTTTTATCTTGCCTGAAACGATCCCTTGTGCGTTCCAAGACTCTGCGTTGCAAATATGTACTAAAAATAGCACGCATACTTAAAAAGCAGGTTCTGGGGTATTCACCCTCTTCTACTTCTTTCGCTGAAAACGTTCGTCCAATACGGCACTATGCCTTTTTTCGACAAAATCTTATTTCGAGCGCAGTATCGTCAACCAAATAGGTGCAGTACATCACGTCGACCCATGCGGCAATAACTCCGACTCCGGAGTCGGAGTCGGTATCATTTTTGCGCCTCCGACTCCGACTCCGACCCGGAAGAACTCTGGAGTCGGAGTCGGTATAATTTTTGCGACGCCTACTCCGACTCCGACCCGGGCAGAACTGTCGACTCCGACCGACTCCAGCTCCGACTCCGACTCCGACTCCGCAACCCTGCCCCAAACCCACGTAAATATTGACCAAGAGCGTCGAGCGACCAAGTTTGCTTTGAGGCGATATCTCCTATGGGCCCACCTACCCTGTAAATTTGGCATTTCTAAGTGCCATAGGAGCCAATCGCCAGGAAAGGGGGGTGCGTACAGTATATCTAAAAAGTATGTCCCCTGGTTTGGCTCTCCCACAGGAGGCGAATCGGTAACTTGGCTGAATCCCAGTTGCGGCATCCGGCCGCCAGGGTCGCTGCCGCGCGAGCGGCCTTGACCGCTCGCATGTCATTGGCAGTTCGGTCCCTCCCCATCTATACCGAGGTGGGGAGGGGAGAAGAGGGGAAGAGAGGGGAGGGAGCGGCATCCGCTCGGCACTTGGCGATACCTGGCTGACCCCGCGCTCCCTCGCTGACCTTTGTCCTGCCCTCAGGCGAAGACCGACTTCCTGGCCTGTAGCGGCCCAGCGGAAAACCGAGCTCGCGGGGCGCGACTCCATTGGCCCAATCTTATAAATGGAATGCTGTCGTATTCACGGCATTAGATAATATTAATAGTGATACCAGCAGTGGATGTGGTAAAATACAGTCCAAAATAAACGAAAGCACTCGATTCGTGCATAATGCGCCCTCCCATTCAAATAAGCCCGCCCACTTCGATAGATGGTGTAGTTTCTTAGGGCGTAAAAGATGCAAAACACTACCGATTTTTTTTTTTTTTTTAGCTCGGCCACTGGGACCGACAATATACAATTGACTGAAATGCATGAAAACCATTTTGCATTTAGGTAATAGCCGTTTTCTGCACCCAAACTTTAGCCAGTGACGCCCTGTCCATTCTAAAGCGTTTATAAGATTGGTCCCAGCACCCGATTTTATATGAGGAAGTCGTTTAAAAAGCATCTTATTTCTAACGAATTTATTATTATGGCCACTTTTACAGGACGTCTATAGAGCTTTGACTTCTACATTTCTTCCTCGTTCAGGAGAAACGTTTTAACCCTCACCGGACCTTCAGGTTTTCTGAATACCGAGGGACGTTGGGGGGTTGGAAGTGAGGAAACAACCCCCTTCGCCGATTCGCCCCTAATTGAGCTAGAGCCTCACGAAAGAAACGATCGTGTGCGTCGTTACGAAATGCAGCGATTGGTCTCCGATTTAAGGACCAGGGTCAGCCGATGACTTCGGAGGTCAGGTCAAGTGGCCCAAGGCACAGGTTCGGTTTTTGGTAAATAACTTCGCTAAAAATGATCGCAGATCCGCGATTTTAGCAGCATCGTGTTTGTCTAGCTCAGGCGTGTCGAATGGTATACTTTTTCTTCGGGTGAGATCAACTTAACCCTCGCCCGTATAGGGGGGGGGGGGTCGAACGGACCCCCCTCCCTCGGTTTTTCGCGAATAACTCGCGTAAAAAGCGGCCGATCGCGATTAAACTTTCGTTACCCTCGCGTTAATCAATTTTACACCCACCCTGAAACTGTCATGACCCTGACCTTAATGACCTTTGACCTGCGACCTACTTTTCGATACCATGTTTGGCCGGAATCGCGATTCGGCGTATGTCGGCTCGCATTAGCGGCGCGTTTGCAGTCTTTTCGTGGTTTTAAGCGTTCAAACATGGGATATGATGTTGCTTCCATGCATTAGGGTGGGTGTCAAGGTCACCGGAAAGTCAGGTCAGGTCATTGACCTTTGATGACCTCGGTTCACTTTTTCGAGTTTTACATGTTTCTAGGCCAGTTTTAGGAGCTGAATTCGAATTTAGCAGCCATATGAACATTTACGAAGTAGTTTTGGTGCCCTCGTAACATGTTGCGAAGCTGTCAGAGGCGGTTGCCACCTACTACGAATACCCTTACTGGTTGACCTGACCTGACCTGACCCGACCTGGCCTAAATGCATGAAGACATCATCTGTGATCAAAACTAACATGATATTCGTGATCAGCACCCCGAAAACCCCATAGCAGCCACGCTTTACGACTTTCTAACAGACCCGATTTTCCCGACTTTTGGGTCATTGACCTGACCTGGAAAGTCAACCGATGACCTAGGACCTTAAAATTGGGTATCATCGACTTCCTCTCGTCACGGCCAACACGATCGTTTTTTCCGCGAAGCTCTAGCTCGATCAGGGGCGAAACGGCAAGGGAGGGTCCAACGGACCCCCCCCCCCCCCCCCTTATACGTTTGCGGCTGGAAAAACACCAATATGGGCGAGAGTTAAGGTGTTAACCTCGGGTCAAGGTCAGGTCACAGCCCGTCAGGTCACGAAGCTGGTCAAAGAAGGTCATATTGCATATCAATCGATTCGGCAGGTCTTTTCATGTCCATTAGTGGCTTTATCGACTCGCTAGCTTTAGTTGATCGGGAGTTATTGACGAAAAACTGATACCCTTGGTTACGTGATAAATGACGTCACGCAAGATCAACAAAGCAAAATTAAAGCATCAGACCTTGCAAGGAGCGCATGAAATCACGATTCCGTGTGCTTGAAAATTTGAGATAGTTATATATCATTTCCGGACCAAACTAGCAATTTCCATATTCCCCTGACTTTTAATGGTGAGAGACTGACCTGATCTCAGGCGACCCTTCAGAAAATCCGAGATATACATTTATACAAGTTGTGAGACTCTCGATCATACTATAAGATCCTGTAAGTTTCATCTCCCTATGAAAGCTCTGCACTGAGGGTGTAGCGAAGTTGAACATTTTAGGAGTGTGCACACAGTCCTAAAATGTTGAGGACAGTTTAGGACAGTTTCACACAGTTCATTTTAGGACTGCTCATTTATGACGTCATAGATCAGTGACCTGACTTGTCTTAAAAATGCGGTTGGCGTAAAAAAATCTGACTTATCAAATCCCGACTAAAAAAATCGACTTATAATCCGGTTAATCAAATCCCGACCATGTTTTTACCTGGCCATTAATGTTCTAGCCTTACAGGTGATTGTTTGAACGCGGAAGATGCTGAATCTTGGTTAACCCCATACTTATCGTATGATAAAGAACGTCAGTGTTAGAAAGTTAATTAACAATTTTATTTAGGATAGTTTAATCCAAGTGGGTATAAATCGACTTGACAATTTACTAGGAGGGTTTTGCAGCGCTATTAGTTCGGCATTTAATTATAAATCATTGCTAATTTCGATCCGGATATCGTTATTCAATGCTGGCCTTTGCGTCCTCAGAAAGTTGTTTATAGTCATGAAGGCTTGCATTGACCCATACTTTCCATTTTTTCAGCACTATTATTCGCCGTAGTTGACCAGGTGTTTTCTTCAGCTTTCCCCTGAATCCTTTGGCTTAGACCTGGCGTATCACCCGTGCATCGCAAGACGCACCTACCACACACAAGTTCATGATCCCCACGAACCCACATCAGCGTCCGTTCGCTTGGTGTGTGACCCCTTGACCTTTGGCCGCGACAACTGCCAGCTTGCTGGAGCACCCCTCCCTACACGCGCTGCCCCGCCCGCTCCCCTCACTCCCCCCCCCCCCCCGGGGTCGTGTCACGAAGGTTCGGGCTTACGCTACTACCGGCCGCTGCGCAGCTGTCACCTAGCGCCTGGGAATGTGTGGTCTGGTGCGGATTCAGCCAACTACCGGCTCGCGACACCAGCGCCACGTAGTGGCGACGGTACATTCTTTTTAGACACACTGTACCTACAACCAACCCCACTGGCCGTTCGCGTTCGGCATGAAAAACACCCCAGCCTGGCGAGGGTTAATTTGTAATTTGGGGTCCCGGTTTCGAATGCCATCGTTGCTTATTACTTACTCAATAAATTGTGCATTTAGGAGCGGCTGGATTTTACTCAACATACCGTGGCCTGGATTGATAAAAAAGCTTTGACAATTCCTTGACGATTCCATCGCAGGTGAATATATTTCCTTTATTTCTCATATGGTAGCTAATAACAAAACAACGGTAATTGGCGCAGCAAAGACAAATATCACTGCTTGTGAATGTTATGTGCTGCGTGTATGCTGCATTTGTTATAGATGTTGCCTAGCAATTTGTTACTAATTCACTTTCAGCCGGGAATGTCCGAGAACTAGCTGAAAGATTTGAACAGAAAATTATTGAAGGGGTGGGGAGGTGTGGAGTGAGATTGGTATGCTGGTGAGTGATATGGGTTTAGGCCTCTTTTTTGTTATGTTAAGCGATTTAAGCCTAGAAAACTGAAGTATAAAGATTTTTTGTTGTCCTGAATACTTTTCTATGGAATGGCATGCTCAAGATTTAAATATCTGGGTTTAAAATGCATTTTTCGATTCGGACATTCTTCGTTGAAGCTGGGAACATTACAGTCTGAATCAGGCCCCGTTTACATAGGGATTGTTGCTAGCTTATAGCTCCGCCCGTTGTGTTGCAAAAGATGCCAATGGTGCTTAAAATTTACTAAATTTTCCCCTTTAAATATACAAAGATCACTGCATCGCAATTATCACAAAACAAATGAGCTAGAAGCTAGAGCCTCCTCAAAAATCCTATGAAAACACAACTATTGATTTACCTCATGGTTTATTTTAATTTTGAATTGTGAATATTGGCCCTATATGGTAGTTGCTGGATAAATTTTAGTTCTTATTTAGATCTCTGAAAAATAAATACCTACAAATTTAGAATAGGTACCTAGGTCCCTACCTATTAAAGGAAATAGTTCACTTTCACGAAATTATTTTTTTTGCAACGATTTATTATTTTTTATGTTCAAAATAATCAGCAAAGAAAATAAAACCTTTTTATAACAAAAGATTTTTTTTTTTCTATATTTTGATATAGGAAGAACTTTTCAGTTTCTGTAAGGCACACGCGATCCAGTATGAAAAGTGCATGGGTCCCGAAAATTCTTCAGAAACAGAGAAATTATCGCAGCCACCGGCATTTGGGCGATCTGCTCGATCTGATAATGTTCCCCTGAATGTCCTAATTGATCAGTACGAGAATTTCTCTAGAGTTCTCGTAGATAATTTCTCTAGTTTCTGAAGAATTTTCGGGACCCATGCTCTTTTCATACTGGATGGAAATATATGCAAGGCACACATCCTCAACGCAAGACACCTTTTTCGGGACGAAAAATAGAATATCTTTGCCTAGGGTGATCGTTGGGCTGTAAAAGCTCCTGATTTATGCTCGTCTCAGCCCAAGCTACGGAACTGCTATTCCAGTTCAAAACCCATGTTAAAAAGTGAACTATTTCCTTTAACATGAAATTTGTTTAGTGTCTTTCATGATACCTACATCAACATTTTTCAAAATTATCATAATTATAGTCTGTTCCATATCAAGCTTGCAGTCGGAGTTTCTTCGGCAGATCGCTCCTCTGGACCTCCGCTCAAGAATTTGCATCTTAAAGGAACTATCCCACCTTCTAAAATGTTGTTAAAACCAGTTAAATTTTGCCCGACGTTATAGATTGGATGACCAGGAACACGGTTCTGGCATTTATTTTCACTAAACATCTTAGGCTTCCCGTATTCCAAACACAAACTTTCAAATATGTGATGGCACAGCCCAAAATTACCTCCTTCCCCAGGCCACATTACTGTCATAAAGCTGATTCTTTTTACTCTGTAGGCACCACAACAAAGTTCAGATCAAGTTTTAAGCGATTTTTCAATGAACAAACCCATTTAAATCAGAATGATTAAACGAGGTGACGTCACACTAACAGCCACTCCATGTTGAAGATAGGGCCTTGCGCAAGGCCCATTTTCAAATGAAGGTAACGAATTTCTTCAACACCAAGAGGCCGCGGGGGTTGCAACCTAGATAGATAGTGGTTTCTGAACCTCGCCGCAAACTTGGCTATCTCAACTCAAACCCCATGTTAAAGGTGGGATAGTCCCTTTAAAATGTAAGAGCTGTATATACAGAAATCACGCACTGCTTTCAGCAGGGCACTTCGGCTGCAAACTTGAAACGGAACAGAGTATACCTATTTTGCCTTGTGATATTATAGATGGTATGCTGACTTGAAATTTTTCTTAAAAAGGCATATGTTTTTATCACCTATCTTGTGTCATCCACGGTATATAGAGAACTAGGTAAAACCAGTTTGCCACCACAACACTATGGTATTTTGACCACTTTCTTCAGCTGACCTTTTAGAACCAAAAACGAAAAGTAGCCCATATAATTGGCTTATAATAATTACACATATGTTAATTTGAAGAGCATTATTACTGAGGAACCAACGAGTAAATCTGTGTGATAATAAGGAAAATAAAACCAAGTAATTTGCAATTTGGTGTCATCCTGTTTCTGGGTTTGTGCGTATGTTTTCATTCATGTTTATACTGATCTAAGTTGTAGGTTGGTAGGTTTAAGGTTGTAGTTAAGAAGGTAAGGTTAGGACATTATGTTTTATCCTCACCGTACTTAACACATTTACCAAGCTTACAGATTTCCATGGTACCTAACCATTTAAATTTGCCTAAGACACATGATAAAAAGAAGTAGAATTGGTGAGATCATAGGATGGACAATGAGTTCAGGTTTTGTCATTCAATAGACATCAATAATAGGAAGTAAAGACAAATATTTGGCCAGGCAAATATTTATGGGCAAATTCAGGTAGATAATTGTATATTGCCATAGGTGACAAAAACACTTTCTCCTAAATGGAATAATTATTTTGGCACACTTGATGCTTATTAACTATGCTTGATATTAAGTTGTTTGATCATCAAATGCAATAAATTTGAAAGGAGGCATATTTTTTTCTTAACAGTTAACACATCCAGCACTCCCTTACACCAAATTAATGTTTTACCTTCTCCCAACTGCAGAATCATCAGAGTAGGCACTCAAACATGCCTGCCAATCTTGAGGAAAAGATCAACATTGTGAAGGCTGCCATTACCTCTCATCCTGACTTTCCAAAGAAAGGTGTTATCTTCAGGTAAGTTGTAATTCTTTTTAACAATTTTTGTTACCTACTCTGAAACTAGAATTTGTGTAGGTATGCCATATGGTTTACCTAGATAATTGCTTGCTAATGATGTTTTATGGCCAATATCCTGAAACAGATAGAATATGTTATCGATGATCAGATTTGGATGTAATGTAAAGTAATGGATGTAGTTTTTGTCCATTTGTATTGCTGGCCCTGACCTCTCATTTGGACTTGCTTTTAGACATATTTATTTTCAAACATTGCATTGTTTTTGCTTTGTTTAACATTCGCTAAGTTATGAATATGATAGGTAATGCCATGGATTAGGTATTCCTTTCATTAGGTAGGTATTCCCATTAGGAATACTTCATCCATGGTAATGCATAACCCATTTGCCTGCCCCCATTCAGGGACATATTCGGCGCGCTGCTGCAGCCGGCGGCGTTCGCGGCGCTGCGGGACGTGCTAGTGGCGCACGCGCGCCAGCTGAGTCCGCGCCCGGACGCGGTGGTGGCTCTGGACGCGCGCGGGTTCCTGTTCGGGCCGCTGATAGCGCTGGAGCTCGGCGTACCCCTGGTACCCGTCCGCAAACGGGGCAAACTGCCGGGCGCCGTGCGCAGCGTCCAGTACCAGCTGGAGTACGGACAGGTACGGTACCGCGAGGGAGAGTGACTGTTGCTGATCGTTCGTGAATATTTGGTTTGCTAGACCCCAACGAGCTTTTACAGCTTTTGCTCACTAACAGGTGCGATGTTTGACTGACGTATCTTCTGTGTCTGGCTACAGGACACCTTTGAGATGCAGGATGGGCGCATCAGCAAAGGCCAGAACGTGCTAATTGTTGACGACCTGCTGGCGACCGGAGGTAGGTGAAGTCATTTGGTGGTGACTCTGGCCTGTCGACCTGATCCGACCTGTAACCTCAGACCTGACCTGGCCTGACCTGATTTGAGCTGAGCTGAGCTGAGCTGGTCTGACCTGAGGTGTTGAATGAGTTTCAATGTACCCTCCTGATGACCTTTCCCTCAAGGCTGCTCCAATGGATATCATTCTGTCATTTTCTCGGTTGTAATTTTATCGAAATAATAGATCATTAGTGCTAGTTCTGAGGTTATGGGTGTCATTAGTCCCTCAATATGGGCCAATAATGTTCTAATTACGTCCAAACGAGGGCCGCTGCCGCTGGTCAGAGAGGCGCCGACGTGATTTAGTCCGCATTTTCATACGGTCCGGCCGTCTATAATGATCGAGTTTGTGCGGTAGCACGACCGTCGGCCAGCCAAGCGCGGGTGTCTGTGTCGGCAGTTATTTCATACGTCTCCCGCTGGGTGACGGTGGCTGTAAAGCGGCTCTTACTGTCCGCTAACCGGTCCACTATTTATGTTCTGGCGGCGCCAGCTTCACATGGTGCGGCCCGCGCGGGCGGGGGCGGCATCTGGAAGTGGAATGGGGCGCGGTAGCCGGTAGCTAGGTATGAAATCATAGAACGGACTGAGGAGACTGAAGGGAGTTGTGGAATGCAACTGGGTATGAATAGGGAGAGTTATGGAATGATATGGGTTCGGTAATTAGGCATAAATGATAAAGATGTCCAATGATTATGAACTTTGATCTCAAAAGTCCATGGCCGTTTTGCACCCAATCGCCGCAATCAATATCACAGAGCAGACCAACATCCTACAGAGGAACATCCGATTATAGAATATTCAATATTCACTGGCACTATACACATGTGCGTGTGGAATGCAACGAGTAGACGTACACATAAACTTATCGGATTAGCAGTGAGAAGGGTCAGGCAGTTGTCCGTTGTTCCTTTCTTTTCCCATTCCTGGTTCTTCAAAAGTTTAAAATATTTCCGTGTGACTAATGAATGGCGACGTTTTTTTCTCAATAAGTCATTCCTTCTTGGTTGAATACAAATGACTATTCATTGCCTTTTTTAAGTTGCCAATGCATCGTAGCATACTTTGGAATCGTGATCCATGTCAAGTGAGGACCTGTATCAGGGTAAGTAGTGGTGCTAAGTGTCTTATCAAATGAAATTATGCTCATCAATTTCCTTTGTCTTACCTGGTGAATTCGCCATAAAGTAGCGTTCAAATAAGCCGACATTCAGTTCTTGGCATGACATGCTCACTACAGTATGTATCGTCACATAGTGCGGTTCTAGTTATTACCGACTCTGCGATTCCTCTGCACTATGTCTTGTCCGCTCTCCATCGGTTCTGATCACCTCCCCCCCCTTCTCAGGCACCATGTCGGCAGCCTGCCGGCTGGTCTCCGAGGCCGGCGGCACGGTTCTCGGCTGCCTGGTCATCATTGAACTGGCCGAGCTAGGTGGACGGCAGAAGGTGCCGGCGCCCGTCACTGCACTGCTCGAGTTCTGATCCCAGGCTCTGAGAGACGGTGGCAGAGGTGTCCTAGGTTTTGCCAGAGCCCTATGGGCCTTGGTGGGTGGCTGACGAGGACTGACCGCAGGGATCGAGCCAGGGATATCCGAGATGGACCCCTGCGGGGTGCGATGGGGCGATATTTTGACGGGTGCGGTCTGGGAATGATGTGATTTGCTCATGTTTTGGGCTCGTAGAGACGACAGTGTCGCTGTTCGTAGCATTACGGCCAATGGTATAATGTCGGTAGCAACAGTGCCATACGTCAAGGGTTTTTAGGTGCACTGCCATGATCTACGAAGTGCTAACGCATTATTGCATTGTTTGTAATGACTGAAGGTGCTTTATGCACAGCGAGTGCAATACTGACATTTCCAATCGCTAGGGGCGAATTCTTCCACTGATCGATGCATTCCACACAAATGCCTTGAATTTTATACACCCGTTTGTTTGATGTACTTGTATACCTGTTCGTTTGATACGTTTGGTATTGTATTTTGAAGTGAGCCTGGGTACAATACATAGCATGAACGAGTATGCCAAGCCAGTTTTTGCCTGCGTAAGGACTAAGGAACATGTTTACTGATGAGCGTAGAAAACCATTCGCTCCCGGAGGATTTGTTGTTGCCGCAAGTCTTGTCCGTCGAAATACTCGGTTGACTCTCTCCTATGGGGTGATCGCTGTTTTGAGTCCAAACTATGAATAAAGGCTCGCTCTACTTTACGCGTAGACATCGGGTCCTTTTACCACCGGGGAAGACTCGCTTGTGGCGGGTGATGGCCGACAGCGCCACGGCCCTGCGCTCAGTGCCGCTGCAGGTGGCGCCACCGCTGAACTTAGACCATGGATGAAAGAACCCTTAGACTGTGAACGGTCAGCCAGCCAGCCTGTGGTCAGTCGGTGGTCTTCACTGCGGGGTCGAAACTCGAAAGGCTAACACTGTGCATGAAAAAATGCGGCTACTCTATCTTTTGATAAGATAATTACATGACCTGTGTATGCAATTCTCCTTCAACAGTAATGCACTCAACGCAGTTCGCCACTCCTTTTCATCATATATCTTTGCGAGTGAGACTCAACACACTGCCAATACCATGTCGCTCTTGCAGTTGCGTAGCACATTTTCCCACATCACATAAATACCTTGTGATATCCATCAGCTCACAGACCACTCGTCACTGCCCCTGCCTCTGCACCGCCCCCGCATTCTCCGCGCCGGCTCCACAGGTCACTGTCTGGCGCCTACCTCCCGTCGTCGGCACGGCTCGCACAGGTGGTCGGCTCCCGCCGGGCACCGCTCTTAACCGGCCGGCGAACGACGAGAACACATTAAATAACATAAGAACACATAAACCGGCCGTTGATGGCCTCCGGATTACGTACGGACGCCGTCGGAGAGCGATTCTCATTTGAAAATTGTCCCGTAAATCAGGTCTGGGAGCGGCGCGGCGCCGCCCGGCCCCCTGTGCCGGCGCGGACACCGGTACCGGTCGTAATGGCTCACCGGTGACCGGCCGGTGGCCCACGCGGGCTCGGCTGCGACTCTGCGGGTGCAGAGGAGGACGAGGATCGCTGTGAGGCTACTGGTGGTTACTGAGAGCTCGGGGTGGTGTCTCCATGGGTTACGGCCAGTTCACTTTGACTGAGTACACTATGGTTCACCATGAGTACATCGAGGGTCACCCTGAGAGCATCATTGGAACGATAAGCCATTGTGAACCGACTCAGTCACTGAATAGGTCTTTGGTCATTGTGACTTAAATCTTTGTAATTTCAAAGACGTTACTTCCCACAGATATCTAGTTCAATGCGGTGTTTCCAAGATAGCCTTGGGAGTTGCCTCAGCTAAGCTCTCACCCTCGCTCGCTGATTCTTCAGCACGCTTTTACCGCCTCTGATTCAGGAGCGGAAATGAAAGTCGTGATTGTCTGTCTGTGAACGAGCTCTCTGCCACATGCAATGTCACCTGGCCCCTGTGGGGTGGTTCGGAGGGGGGGGGGGGGAGTCTGGTGGCCGCCCCGACACCCTCCACACATGTCCGCTGCCGCGGGCAGTAAAGAATGATTATAGCGCATTGTGTCGCATTACGTGACGCATTTCGATCACCGCTCCAGCGAAATGACCATACTAACGTGTTTCCCAGCGCTAGATACAAATTGCTAACGTTCTAAACCGAGTTCAATTTCAGTTTCATTGAACTTGTTTGTTTATCGCCTTGTCGTTACAATTCGACTGAAAGTAGGAAAACTGATAATGCCGCAATTCACGCGGTATGACAATTTTTTAGTGACTCATTGCTATTTTCTGACTGGTTTGCAGATGAGGGTTCAATATGTTCCGCTCGTGATGGTGCCTAACTGCCTACGCCATAGTTACGCTCGGGTCACTTAGCACGAGGTCACCACATCAGCCATGAGACGAAATCAAGGACCAAATGGCCTCACCTTGGGGCTCATCGGAAAAGGGACGATTCCCTGCTTGTGAGGTGGTGTTTTTAACATAGGATTCTCTGTCGCACTCACCGAGACGTGGAAAATCAAGACCCCGCGAGGTTATCGTTTCAGTTATCGAGAAAAGTATCGAAGACGTAACAGTGATCTTGACAATGTTGCTCATTACAGTTTTCTAAAACATCTAGCTCCCTTCATCTGGAAAAGGACAAGCTACAAACTGAGAGCACCGCGAAACAAAGTATTGCTTTTAGGAGAGGGACATGTAAGGGCGATGGGAATGGAAATGTTAACCCGCGCCCCGTAGGGCTATCGGCGGACCCGTAGGGTGGTGGTGGTGGTGGGGGGGGGGGGGGGCGTTTCGGCCCTCCTACCTGCCGATTTTCAAAATTCAAACGGCGTTCGATAGCCCCACCGAGGAACTACCTTGTAATCTAATTTCATTGACCTCAGTCCAACCGATGACGTCACAGGTCAGGTAAAAGGTCGCATTTTCACCGTTTACAGACATTTCAAGAAATGGGTTGCGAAATTGAGTAAATTGGTATGTTATTAAAAATCATCGATGAAGGATTGCTCGTCCAACACATATCTTGCTATCTGATGTCATTGATACCAGGTCAGGTCACAGAGGTCAGGTCATTGAGGGTCACAATATGGAAGTATCGTGTAATACATGTTTTATGGTTCATTTTACATAACAAATGCAATTATTGTGGGTCAGGCAGCCTTTGGGGCCAGTTTAAGTTATGTTCTGGTGAAGGTCAGGTCAAGGTCAGGTCAAATTAGGTCAAATTGCAAAGTTGACATTTTTGCATAAAATCGGTACCGATTGTCACGAAGAGTCATGGTGGTCTTTGATTTGCACTACGTGGTCTAGAATTGCAAAAAAATTGAGTTTGAAAATTTGACGTCAGCTCATCCACGTCTTAATAACTTTAGATCTGAGATGAAATATGGCGTAAACTTTACGAGAGGACGTATAATGTCCAATGCCACTCGTGACGGCAAGCAATTTAAGTAGTTCCTACTGCATTGCACTCAGGTCCAGGTTTTCTGCTATTGGTTACTCACAAAGTCGTACATCACTAAATATTTAACCCTGCTCGATATGTCAGGCCTGTCTCCGATGCGTCGACTATGATTAATGACCCTTTTTAGTGGATCACAAGTGTTCGCACGAACGCTCTAATGCACTTGTGTTGATCTTGCCAGCCGTGAATTGGTTACCGGTAGTGCGGGTCCGCTGGAAATGATGTACCTACTCCATTGATGTGCCATGTGGTTGGCGTCTTAACCCGCGCACCGACGGGGGTCTGCGCCAACTTCGCACCGACGGGGGGTGGGGGTGGGGGGGGGGGGGGCGGGGCGGATGACCGCCCCCCCTGAGATCTCGAGAACGAAGCAAGATAGCGACAAGCGGTAAACGGCATCGGATACGCACGGCCAAGATCTACAATTTTTACTTAGGTCATTTTCAGGTCAGGTCAAAGATGACGTGACAGGGGTCGAAAAAGTCAAAATGGCGGCGCTAGATATGGAGAGAGTTTTTCTCGAATAACTTTCGAATTAGTCAAGATAGGAACAAACTAAGGGCATCATCGTGATCCTCTCGTCAATCCGCATCGAATGATATATATGTTGACCTCGAAAGGTCAAGGTCAAAGGTTGACCTCAGGTCACGTGACCTCGAGGTCATCATGTATATCATTCGATGCGTCTTGACGAGCTGAACACAATGAGACCATCCACGCGTCTGTATCTTGTTCCTGTACGGAGTTATTGGCCAACAACCTTTGGTGACCTTTGATGACGTCACATGACCTCACAGCTGCCCAACAGCAAAACAGACCTCAAGGTAGTGAAGGTTGATCGTATATGAAGTCATGTATGGTATATGGGGCCATTCCGACCCGTTTTAGTGGTAAAAACAGGGAGTTGATTTTTCCCCCATTGACTTATAATGGGAGGTCGCGAAATTGACCTGACCTTAGGTCACCGATATCAAAATTCCGAGATATACAAATTGTAGCTACTAATGACCTAATAATATCCTGCGACTTTCAAAGGCCTCCGACATCTACTGTAGCTCTGGCACGGTGACAAAGTTGCAAAAAAGTGACTTGAGGTTGGGTCATTCAAAGTGACCTGGTGACCTGACCTTAAAAGGTAGGAGGTTCAAACTTGCACACCATGTGTAAAATTGATGAGGTTATAGTCATACCAAATTTCGCGGCGCTACGCGCCGCGGTTTCCCGCTATTCGCGAAAAACCTCAGGGGGGGGGGGCGGATATCCGCCCCCCCCGTCGGTGCGCGGGTTAAAGAAACTTCATCTTCGCAACTGACTAAACACGATATTTTGCGTCGCGCTTCGCATCGTTTTGGTGATAAATTGATTTAGACAAAATATTTGGGAACGTTTGATGTTTGTCCTGTGTCCATCTAACGTTTGGAAGCGGAGATACGTTGCGAAAAATTGCTCAAATTGTGGGTACTTGCAAAAATACTTGGTACCTAGTACCTAGGTTAAGGTACTTGGTTTAGGTATTACATTTTTTATCAATCCGTCGCTGTTCAGTGTCGATCGAATAGAAGTTTAAGCAATGCATACCTACTGGGGTGGGGGTGGGGGGATGGGGGTGGAGACACACTGCTGCTGCCAAACCCCTCGAGACTCTCTCTCTCTCTCTCTCTCTCTCTCTCTCTCTCTCTCTCTCTCTCTCTCTCTCTCTCTCTCTCTCTCTCTCTCTCTCTCTCTCTAATATGTATATGATTTCGTGATTAAGTATTTGTGAATGCGTGGAAGAATTTCAACACGCAGGAAATTATCGTTTGAAGACCTGCCGAAATTTGCTTAAAAACATTTTGTTGTCCCTCAAATTAGTTGTGTCAAAATGTCGTTGACTTGTAATGTCAACTGTTTTTTTTAAATCCCAGATAGAGGTTTTAGTACGTCATAGGCTCCACTCACGACTGCGGCTTTGACCCGTGCCCATCAGCGACCTCTGTACAAGCGGCACTCCTGCCAGCTGTAGTGGTCTATGAATTTCGGGTAGGTCTTGAAACGGCCATTTGTCAAATTTGGTCGATT